ATATAGGTAAAGTGGGGGGGGGGGGGGGGGCAGTAAGGATTTCGCCTAGGGCGTCAAATTGGCTAGAAACGGCCCTGGTGACAAGTCTCAGTTAGCCTAATGCAGTACACATAGCAAGTTTTTTAATAAATAAAAAGAAAAAAAGAAGATAGAATAGAAAAAGAATAGAGAATGCTAGTGTTAGAGACTTTTTTTAAAAAAGAAGGGGGGTCCTGGAGGGCCGGTGCTGGAGGGCCGGTGTCCTGCAGAGTTTAGCTCCAACTTGCCTCAACACACCTGCCTTTAAGTTTCTAGTATGCCTAATAAGAGCTTGATCAGCTAGTTCAGGTGTATTTAATTGGGGTTGAAGCTAAATTCTTCTGGACACCGGCCCTCCAGGACCGAGTTTGGGCACCCCTGCTCTAACACTTACACTCTCTTCTCTATTCTTACTACTTGTTTTGTGTTAGAGGGTCGAGTGTTTTGAATATTTTTTTATTTTTTATAATTAGAATAGAGAGTGCTATAGCTAGAGGGTCAAATAAAGATGGAAGAGATGTGTTTTTAGCCGATTCTTGAAAATATGGTGGTTACAGCCCCCGCACTTCAGCACCAAAAAGAAAAAAAAGTGATAACTTTCATGATTCATTCAGCACTTTTCTTCATCAACAGGATGACAGTTAAATGAAAGCTTTTCATCAGTCTGGACAGAGGTTGGGCTAGTTTGCACACTCAGACATGGAAAAATAAGCAAAGTAAATCAAATTCAGCAGCTGGCCGATCTCATATGGGTTGAAGCTAAATTCTTCTGGACACCGGCCCTCCAGGACCGAGTTTGGGCACCCCTGCTCTAACACTTACACTCTCTTCTCTATTCTTACTACTTGTTTTGTGTTAGAGGGTCGAGTGTTTTGAATATTTTTTTATTTTTTATAATTAGAATAGAGAGTGCTATAGCTAGAGGGTCAAATAAAGATGGAAGAGATGTGTTTTTAGCCGATTCTTGAAAATATGGTGGTTACAGCCCCCGCACTTCAGCACCAAAAAGAAAAAAAAGTGCTAACTTTCATGATTCATTCAGCACTTTTCTTCATCAACAGGATGACAGTTAAATGAAAGCTTTTCATCAGTCTGGACAGAGGTTGGGCTAGTTTGCACACTCAGACATGGAAAAATAAGCAAAGTAAATCAAATTCAGCAGCTGGCCGATCTCATAGCTATGTGACTGCAGTCTTGGTTATTGTATCAGGGAAAACAAACAGCTTGTTTTACCTGCCCAGACTGAACTGCAGTGCTGATGGAGGTGCTACTAAAACAAGCAAATCCCAAGTTTTTCCTGAATATCTCTTTGTGGAACATGAAGAAATAACAGGATGAAAGGTGCTAATGGGAAGCAGATGCCATATCCTTTCAGCTCCTGAGTTTGCATATAGCAGAAATTGATAAAAAAATTTAATTTTCAATAGACTAATTCAAAGCCACATAGGCTAAATAAGGGTTGCTCAACCTTTATTGGCAGCAAAAGCCCCTATGATCTAAATTATTTATTTGATGTACTGCTTGAGATTTATCTGTTGAGAAAATGCTGTTATATCGCAGATTAGTTTAATCAATTGTGCACATAAATATGCTTATGTAATATATAAAATAAACACCACTGTTCAAAAGTAGTTATATTTAAAATTATAACTTTTATAGCTGCATTTATTTGATTTGAATATTATGAAATATTATTAAAATTTAAAATAACTGTTTTCTATGCTATGAAATGTAATTTATTCCTGTGATACTCGAGTCTTCAGTGTCACATGATCCTTCAGAAATCATTTTAATATGCTGACTTGAAACATTCCAGATTATTAATGTTGAAAAGTTTTGTTGTTGTGGAAACAGACACAAAAAAAACAAGATTCTTTCATAAACAAAGTTTAAAAAAAACTTATTTTGAATGTTTCAAATGTTCTTATGCCTTAATGTAGCCTATTTTTGTAGTATCCTTGCTGAATAAAAGTAGCCCTATTAATTTCTTTAAAAATAAATTTCCCAAACATTTGAACGGTATAAATAATAATATATAAAGAAATCCACATAAATGACAAATAACGAAGCTTCTTCCAGTACCTACAGATGATCAGGAACATACAGTAAGAACTGAAGATCAATATAGAAACCATTTCTATCAGTAAATCCACCCTTCATTCCCTTTTTGAGTTTTTAAAGGCCTTTACAGTACAGATGGGAATCTAAATCTCTCAGAAAG